TGATCAACAAAAGCCATCAATCAAGGTCATTTAAAAAAAAAAATTGCGCATAGACTCCACTCCAGTATCACCGTATCAAATTGTAATGTCATTTTCGCAGATAGATACCGAGGGTTAAAATTTTATTATCTTACACTCGATAAAATTTTCACAGATGTTGCCCCTTAGGCAAAATTAATGAATCTAAAGAGTCAAAACAGATTTTAACCGAGGGAAGTTATGACTGCAACAATGAAACTACAGTTCAAAACAATGAGACCACAACGGGGTCTACGTGCAATTAACCCTAAAATAAGCAAGAGGAAGGCAAGCAGATCCTTTGCGCCGCCAGGATGGAACCAATAAGGACAGATATCAACATATTCTCCATTAGTATATAGAACAAACCGAAACTTCTCCCGCGAACAAAGGGGGTGCATTTGCAATTCTACATTTATAACAAAACATTCGAAAGGAGAGTGAAAATTAGTTAGGATAGTTACATTTACAACCCAAGGCCTACAGTTCGGCCATCTCTTCGCCGGAGTCCTGCAGTGTACTGCTTCTCCAAGTCCATCTCGAGCTTCTGCTTCTTCTCGGCGTCCATCTCGTTGGGTTTTCGCTCTGGGATGGCATCGCCCTTTACACCCTACAATTGGCCATAGGCACCAAGGCAACCTCAGACTCTGAAAAAGTGTTAGTAAAGGGTTGATACTCTTACATTCTAGGGTTAATTGCACATCGACTCCTGTAGTATAGATGTTTTGAACTTACAACCCATGTAGTTTCATTGTTGCAGATAGATCCCCAGATTAAATTATTTTGACTCTTTTATTCTTGGTGATGTTTTGGCAAATATTGACCACAGGTGCAATTAGTGAGTCTATCTGAGGGTAAATGCGTCAAAAGGATTTAACCAAGGGGGTCTATCTGCAGTAGTAGTAAGTTCAAGAAAACAATCCTACGTGGGGCCAACTAACCCTAGATTCTAATACAAGATTGTACTCTCCTCTCTTTTGTTCGATTCATTTGATGCTAAAATACGTAAGAAAGGCAATTTAGAATTTACCATGAGTTTATTGAATTTCTCTTGGCGTTCTCGGTCTGCAAATAGCTGCAAATCCCAGTGATTTCCCAACTGTTTCTGTTTTCATTAAGAATGAAAAGGGCGAAAAAACAGTATGGCGAGGAGTACATATATTTCATTAAGTATTCAACTTACAAAATTGAGAATAGAATTAAAAGCAAATTAATGATTTGATAATGGTGAGATTGAAGTTACCTCTTCTGCAGTAGTATTCTTTTTATTACCCCAGAGCAGCTTCTTCTTCTGGTCTGTAGACAAGTAGCTACTGCCACCAACAAGGTTACGGTTCACTGCAGCACCAATTAACTTTTTTAATTAGAAAACAAATGAAAATAAGTCCAGGGATCATAGACGTATATTTGGGTGAGTCCTGATACACAGGTTTCCGACATTGCCAAAAGGGTAATTTCAGTCTTTCACATGACTAGAAGTTATCAGCAAGTGGGGAAATTCAGTCTAACACTAAACTCTTAAACGGAGTTCTTGTTGAGTTCTTGCACATTAATAAACCTTGCAATTTTCTGAATCTTCACAAACAATTAGCTGCAAAGATTCTCAGACAATTAGAGGCTGTTTGGTTGCACACTTTTTAAGAAAACTTTTCTCAAAACATCTGACAATGGCAAATTTGTAATTAAAAGTTTTTCAGAGATTTCTGTAAATTGTGTTTGGTTCAACAAAAAATTTACAGAAATATTTTCTATAAAATATCAAAACCTACCAAATTTTACAAAAAGCAATTTCCTCTCAAAATGAGAGGAAATCACCAGAAATCTGACACATACCATATTTAATTAAAAACCTACCAAATCTTGTTATTTTCTATAAAGTTATGAGTTATTTTCTTGTTTTGAACCAAACAAGCAAAGTACAAAAAACAAGAAAATTGATACTTTTTGATTTCTCAAAACTTTTCCTATAATTTTTTTAAAAAATACAAGGAAATCATATTTTAGGTGGAAAATATTTCCTATAATTTCTAGAAATTGAACCAAACACCCCCTTAGAGAACTCTATCTTTGTCCAAAAATAAAAAATACATCGAAATTTAATTTGATAGTATGTCACTAAAATAATCATTGTGCAGTTGATGAAACCAGACTTTAGAAAAAGAATGGGTCAAAAGGAATGAAAGATCAAATTCCCATAAGTCATTGACAATGTTAATCATGAAACACAAAAAGGCCAATATGTTTAGAATACAGTAAAAATGTTATCAGCACAAAAATGAAGGGAAAAAAATCAAGCCTGCAAAAATCAAAAGCATGCCTTTACTATTCGAATGGATGTGCATGTTGGTAAGTAAACCTTGCACTTTATAAAAACTATATACCGGTAGAAAGAATTCCCTCACAGGTGACTAGTTATAGAACCAGTGAGCAACAGGGACCATCAAAAGACTTCCATAAGTAGAAATTTTGAATGAAAAAACACGGCATTTCAGGATAGATGGTGAAACACTACTGTCTACATATGCTCGAAAAAGCAAAGAAGTCAAATACTTGAATCTGCTATTTATGGGTTTAAACAAAAAAAGCAAAAAAAAAAGAATTCATTATGTCAGAGTACAAAACAGGATTGCAAAAGACACAGACACACACCCAAAAAAAAGCCTTAATAATTCTAATAAAAGTTCAGAGACAACATCGCAAACAAATGGCATGGTAACATTTAATAAGAAACGACAAGCTAGAGATATGTCATAATAGTCTTGTTCTTGAATGATACAAGCATGCGTCATTTAAATTAATTAGATTAAGTTTAATATTAAACTGAAGGATGCAAGAAATATATTAAATGAATGAATTTCCATATGGGTTTTGACATGGGAGGGAAAAAAAAGGAAGTGAAAAGTGATGCAAGGAAAAGTGGTTAGCAAGGAAAGCTTATGTTACCACAACTATATGACACTGAAGCAGAATCAAGTACCCACCTACTTCAGCAGCTTTAATTGCAGCAACTTTTGCTGCATTCAGATCCTGAGCAGTCTCAGACTGATTCATAGAAGCATTGCTCGGTCCAAAAGTAAATTTCTCTGCTGTTCCTTTAACCTGCTTTGAACTTGCGGATGGATCTTCATCTGCATAATTCGCATTTGATTTTGAGAATTAGTGATCCTGAAGTCAGATAAGAAGAGCCACAGGCACTTCTAGACATTTAAGAAATATGAAGAGTAAAACAATGAAGCAAAGCTAACAGCTATAAGCTAACTCACCACCTTCTGAATCACAATGCTTTAGTTTCTTCAGTGAAGCATTTTGCTGAGATGCTTTATTTTTCACTTCTGCCTCTGCTTCTCTACTGTTTTTCTCTGAGCGCATGTCACTTGCCCTATCTTCGTATTTTCTCTTGTCCTTTGGCACATCAATTTCCTTGTTGCCACTAATAAGAGTGTCTTTCAATCTTGTCGAATCACCCTCTCTTCCTGAACTAAAAGCTTTCCCATGTGCTCTGGACTCCTCACGAGAGGATCGGTGATCTTTTTTGTAATCTTCAGGACTCCAGCGACGATCTTTTCTTTCATCTCGACCTTCTCTACCCTTATCAGAATCTTTATCATTGTGCCTGTAATCCTTGTCTTTAAATCTTTGTCCTGTGCTCCCGGATTTATCTGTAGAGTATTTATCTCCACTTCGCCAAATTTCTCTAGACCTATCAGCGTTTCTGCCATGCCTCATGTAGTCAGAATTGTTGCCACGCCTTGATTCTTGCACTGAGCGCGATGACCTGTGATAACCCATATCTTCCTCATCACCATGTCTGTGCTGCCTCCTATAATCCCCATTTTTGGCACAGTCATGAGAGGGCCTGTGTGCATGTTTGTCAGAATGTCTGTGATAGTCACTGCCTCTGCTGGACTGGTTGAATTTGGAATCCTTCTCAAACTCTCTATCACCATCCTTCCTCCGACGATCACCAGGGTAAACTGGACTATGGCTCTGACGTTTCGGACTACCTGGCAAATAACCAATGACTGTGTTTAGCATCATATCAGTATATGGAAGTAGAAGTACAAGAAACCAGTATGGATGACCACTCAATGCTGCAATTCCTTTCACAAGGTAAGCAGGGCTGGAACCAACTACTGCATTATAGAATTGATATTTGCTAACCTTCATGACAGTGGTAATAAGGAAAATTTGGCAAGAAACTGCAACTCATATTCTATAAAAGTTAATATGCTTCAGTAAGAGAGACTTTCTTCTAAAGTTAAGATGCTTCAGTGAGACAGACTTTCTCGCCTCCTAATCAAATTTATAATGGGTAGAAGGTTTACAAAAGTGCGCTTAAAAAAAGTTAACAGCAAAACAGATGGCTGCAAAGTAACAGACACCACCACTCCTAAGTTGCATCCCTGTTTTTACTTCTTATGTGTTTCATTAATCATTATTACATCACATGTTTCCTCATCCTTTCTATCTTCTTGTTTCTTCCCTCTGTTGTTCCTTATTTCTCCTATCACCAATGTGTGTGTGACTTCACACATTAATGCATCATGTCAATTAACATAATCCTGACTATTTAAAAGGACTCTGGCCCTCTTCTGAGTCACGGATAAGAACTAAGTTAAATCTCTGACCGATTGCCAATTTGGGTTCAGCCGTTCAGGTGTGAATATTGAGAATCTAACGCTCCCAATTGCAACCAGCCTGCTTCAGACATCTATAGTTCATATGTTGACCCACTTTGCTATTATATGGTGGTTGCAGTGTTTTCAATGCGCAAGGCGCAATGCGGGGCGCAAAGTCAGTTTGCGCGCACATGCGCAATGCGCAATGCGCAATGCGAGGCGCGCGCCCTAGCGAAGCGAGGCGCACTCCAAACTACAAAAAATTTAAAGATATACAAGATGCTTAAAAAAAATATTTGTGAAATTTCACATAGAAAATATCAAAGTCCTCAAGGACTCTATATATTTTCAAATAATATAGAGTATATAGATTTAAAGAATTAAAGTATTAAACTTGTACGTTAATTTTCATTTAATAATGCAAATTATTCAAATTTTCATACTAGTATATTGCATCACTAACAATTATATTGCTATCCTCTTTACAGGTAACAAATGGCGAATCAAGTTTCAACTAATAGCACTTCAGTGACTTCACCTAGCTCAAATAGCAAGCAAGAATCAATACTCACAGTCTCGCACATGAAATCAAATAGTAGCACTAGTTCATAATATCATGACTCTACAATTCTACATATTGATATTAAGCCAAAGATAAAAACAGTTAACAGTCAAGAGTGATAATAATAAAAAAATTTAATTAAGAACTAAAAGCTATGAAGAATAAATTAGTTAACATTAAATCTCTCTCTCTCTCTTTTAAAGTTACGAAGAGCAAGTCTATAACTCATTACTCAAGTTTCATTCTCTCTTAACAATTAAGAGTCAAGACTCAAGATAAATCTCAGCAATCTCTTGATTAACAATTAACAATCAAGAACTTAATTAAGGACAAACAAATAACAACTCACTCTTAACAGTTTATACTTAACCATCAACAACTAAGAACACATATTTTAAGTTTAATTGTAATTGGACAGGGAATATCAGTAAAACCAAGTGTTAAAAAAACATCACTCAAGAGAAATACAAAACGAAAATAAAAAAAGAGTCCTGCTCACTGAAAATAAAAAAAGAGAAATACAAAAACGAAAAATACAAAACGAAAATAAAAACATCGTTGCTCACTGAAAAGAGTCGCTGAACAGAGAGGGATCAGAAAAAATAAAAGTTGAAGAGAAAGACAAAATGAATAGAAAAAAAGAAAAGAAGGATCATAAAAACATCGCTGAAGAGGAAAAAAAAAAAAGGAAAACAAAATAAAAAAAGAGAAAGGAGAAGAAGAACGCACCTGCTCGCTGTCGATTGTCGATCGCCGTCGCCGTCGCCGCTCGCCGTCGCCCGTCACCGCTCACCTTTGCTGTTTTCTGCTGCCGAGTGGAGAAGGCAAGGAGATCGGGAGAAAGAGTGGGAGAACAGTGAAGAGCCCTAATATCTCTTATCGGTTTAAGTGGGAAGCAGGTAATACCCAATAACCCCCTGAATAGTATTGCGATTCTCCCCTTTTCCTCAAGCGAGTGCATGGTTGAAGGCGGCAGGCGATGCGGAGCGCTCCCCAGGCGCACGCCTGACGCAAGCGTGGCGCCCCGCACCTGCTGCGGGGCGCTGTGCCACTGCGCCGAAGCACCTCGCGCCCGAGGCGCGCGCCTGGATACGCCTTTAAAATCACTGGGTGGTTGTATTATCATTCATGATAGCCATAATTCTTATGTTGGTTAACAATTTTAAAATAACTAATAATTAGTGACACTATGTAGCAATGACACTTTATTAGACCTATCGTGCAAAAACATTGATACTTCTTGCTGTGTCACTGTTCTTTCGTATGCACATTTTAGAATTTGTTCTCAGTATCTCGTATCATACGATGTCCATATGGGCCTGTCTGCATCCATGCATCTTATTGAGACCAGAACAGGAAGGTGACATGCTTCTTTATCTACACTACCTATTCCAATTTCATTTAAAAAATTAGCAAAGTCATATGCAACAAAAAGATGTCTCTTTTCTAATGTTCCAACAATTCTATGAATATGACTATTATTTGGCTTCTAATTTGAACTTTTCCTTGGCATTATCAATTTTTGCTAATTTATAAAATTCTACTTTTAGCAGTTAATTAGATATATCGCATATATAACAGTGTTTTAAATGTCGACCATCATACTGGATATGTCGGCCGTCATGTCGAACTAAGGGGCCAACCGATACGATATAGAGCTTTTCAATGCATATTGCATTTTCAGGGTTCATGTCGGATATATCGAGGGACATGTCGAATATGTCGGACGGATATATCAGGTGACATGTCGACTATGTTGGTCGGTTTTTCAGTGTGAAAATTTGACTGATTTTTTTTTTGTTATGTTCATCTAATCTGCTTGGTTTAAATTTCTAAATTCTAATTGCCTTAATATTGCTTCCAAAGACAAAACTCAATTAGTTAGGGAAAATAAAAAAAAATTAAAGTCATTTATGTCGCTCCTCTTCTCTCTTTCCTTCGAGATCTCATTGGTCTCTTCTCCGAGCTGTTTTTCGACATCAATTTCTGACGACCTTCTCTCTCCTTAATAACCAGCATTGGACTTCTCTTTTCTCACCTTTTTTCTTTAACATCAGTCCTAAGCATCATAAGTTATCGATAGCAGATAGCGTCGCGTAACGGTGAGGCATCTCTAAGGTGGCGTTTGGTTGTTTGCAACTAGAGTTGCAATGCAAGTGCCACTTGCATGCAACTGAGACGTTGCAACTCTTCTTACATGCAACTACAGTTGCAATTGTTTGGTTTAAAATTTAAATTTTATAACTTATAGTTACAGCTGTTTGATTATGCTTATAACTTAACATATGCAACTCATAAAATATTTTTAAAAAATAATATTTTTTAAAAAGTAATATATTTTTAAAAAATAATATATTTTAAAAAATAATATATTTTAAAAAAATAATATATTTTTAATAAATAATATATTTTTAAAAGTTAATATAATATTTTTAAAAATAATATAATATATCATTTAAATTATATATTATTTTTAGAAAATTATATTATTTTAAAAATACATTATTCAAAAAACATATTATTTTAAAAATATATTGTTCAAAAAATATATTATTTTAAATATATATTATTTTTAGAAAATTATATTATTTTAAATATATTATTCAATAAAATTATATTATTTTAAATATATATTATTAAAAAAATATATTATTCAAAAAACTTTAGAAAAATAATAATATACTTGGAAAATTTTATTTTTCAAAAAATATATTATTTTAGAAAATTATATTATTTTAGAAAAAATATATTATTCAAAAAATATATTATTCAAAAAATATATTATTTTAAAAATATATTATTTTTTTAAAAAATATTATTTTAAAAAATAATATATTATTTTAAAGATAATATATTACTTTTAAAACTAACATATTATTTTGAAGAAATTATTATAATAATAATTATTTTAAAAGATTAATGTTGTTTTTTTTAAAAACGTTTTTGAAGAAATTATTATAATAAGAATTATTTAAAAGATTATTTTAAATCTTTAATGAATTTATTTTTGAAATATTAAGTAATGATTTTGATTTTAATAAATTTAGGTCAGTTGCAACTAAGTTGCAACTATGACTTGCGACCATTTTTGACGTAAGTCATATGTTGCAACTAAGGGTTGTTTTGCAACTGTGAGTTGCAGCAAAATAAACAAATGCAACTAGTCAAATTGGACCTAGTTGCAGCAAAACAAACAAATGCAACTAAGCGAAAAACGCACATTCCGTAATATGTCATTGTTATTGGGCAACACCGTAACGTAGCGGGAAGGGACTGCTAACGCTATTAATGCCGCTATTGCGGGGCTATTTACCGTTATTTATAACAGTGTTTATATATTTAGACAATGAAATTTATTAAGTATGTTTAAATTTTATTTATGATATTTATATTATAGATATGCGCACAATCCGATATGGTAATTCAATACTTTTTTTATGTACCCCGACATTATCCCGATTTTCTTTATCCGACATGAATTTTAGCCGTCCAACATGACCCTGACATCCAACATTTTAAACCTTGATAAATAATGACAGAAAGATTCCATTTTGGGCCATGTTCCCCTAGACGAGACAACCTTAGGGTAGGTTTGGATAGCTTTTTTTAAAAGGGGAAGGGAGGTTGAGAAGGGTAGAGTGCTAACCATCCTAAAATAGTGTTTGTTTATATTTTTTAGTAAGTGAGGGGAAGGAGTGGGAGGGTTAAAAAGAAGCAAATTTCATCACTTTCTTAACCCTCCTAAAGTAGACAAATTGGGAGGGGAGAGGTTGGACTTTAAGGGAATTGATCCATTCTCTTCCTAACACAAATTAGTTCCATCACCCTCACTCCCTCTCCATTCCCTATTTGTGTATCCAAACACAATTAGTTACATCACACTCCCTTCCTCTCCTTTCCCTCCCATTGTGTTTAGTTCAATCACCCCCTCCCCTCCCCTACCCTCTTTTCTATCCAAACCAACCATAAGTGTCCCTAGAAACCTTAAGCTGCACCTACAAGGAATATCTAGAGGTCTACTAATTAATACTACACCTTATCACTTTATTCTGTCATGAATGATGGATAAGAAACTTCTAGTATGTTTCATTAGCATACATCGTAGAGTAGATCTCTTCTTAATATTAGACCTTAGAAATTTGAGATTTCCAATCCTCTAATGGAGACCTCTAATTTCTCATAGAACTCCAGAAACAGATGCCTAGTGAATCAAAATGAGCCAGACAAATTGTGAACAAAAATGAGGTTGCAGTCATGAAGTTTCAGAGGAATCATTCCATACTGAAGACTAGTATAGTCCAAATTTTCATAGTAACTACATCATTGCAACTACAGCTTTTGCACAAACTAAAACATCTGCTTCTGAGTCACATTTCTCCATGCATAGCATGTTCCAAAATTTAGCTCTCCCTTAATCTGGTATTTTCCAAGATAGTGGCAATGTTCTACACATGAGATAAAGTTTCATTCTGCAGTGTTCTTTCACTTGCAAACTGTCCTAGGAACCATGTAGGATGCTTATCACCAAAATTTTCTCAAACAAACATCAACAGGATTAACATTATACCTCTCATACTGGAGAGCTTGTACAATGCAAAACCATGTAAATACCTTAAGAAACTACTAGCTGATGCACAACATACATGAAATCTTTTCCATATATCAACCATGGGTCAACCAACAAAATACATGGTGGCCCATCAATTACAACTTGAAATGGAAGAATCTACTCAACTTTGGATACATGAATTTAGGTCTTCACATTTTATAAGGGCATTCATACATTAGATAGGAAAAAACATATTTGCTACACGACTATAGGTAACAGAAATGACCTATTTGCCACAATTTTAAGGGTTTTCGAAAGCAAATGATCTAAGCCTTGGGAGCCTTAAACTACCATCACTTTTTCTTATTCTGAAACTTATAAAAGTAAATCCAAAATTAACATTTCGAATGCAATAAAGCAAATGCTCCTGTAAGACAATAATAAATATTTGTAGCTTGGCAATTCATAGCTACACTTGGCATAATAAAACAAAAGATTAATAACTACCTGAAGCTTGGAAATTCATGGTGTAATAAATAAATATATTGTTAATCAATGTTACAGAAGGCGCTAGGCAGACTAGCATTTGAGCCAGCGCCTAGCGCGGTGCTTATGCGTTTGGCTATTTTTAAAATTATTTACTTATAATAATTGATAAAAAATGTATTAAATTCATATAAATTTGCCAAAAAAGATAGCAATCTTAAATCCATAATAAACTATGCATACTTAAATACTAAATAGCCAAAATAATAAATAACAAGGCTATAGAAAGCGCTAGGAGACCTAGGTGTTGGACCCAACGCCTAGAGCCCAAGAGGTTTTCTTTGTTATTATAATAATAGATAGTAAATGTTAATGTTATAGAAAGCTTAGGTGCTGGACTGGTGTCTAGGTGGAATTCTTTATTTATTTAAATGGCGGTCGATGAGGTTTTGCTGAAGGCCAAAGGAGGTAGTGGAGGTGCTCATATTTGGAGGTTAAAGGAGTTTGAAGGAGGTTAGAGAACATGGAGGCCGGCAACACAGAAAATTATGATCAATGCCTACATAATGCAGTCCATGTAAGTGGACAATGTCCCCTAAATACTCCCAAAATCTAGGTGGGTAACTGAGGTACCGTCCAGGTGCTAGGCGCTAGTTAGGCGGCTTAGGTACGCCTAGGCCTAGGCGGAGGTTTTTTAAAACAGTGTTGTTAATCTACGCTATCTAAACAAACATGTGGGACTACAAGAATTGGTCGCCCTTTTTAACATGAGTATTAACAAGAGTTAGTAGGCTTCATAATGAATAATTTGAGCATAACTAACACCGTCCTGAAAGAGTTGGACAATTGTGAAAATATGTTATGACATACCTTGTCATGCTGTTTAACGGTCTTCCACGACAGTTTGAAAGAATTTCCCAATGTCAGTAGCAGTGAAATTGCAACCAATAATGCAATAGTGTCAATAATAGGTAAACCACAGATTAAGACCAGAAGTCTGAGCATGGAAAAATCGAACACAATCCAGTTTCAGGAAATTCAAGTTTATTACACTTGTTATAGTGCACTTAAAACTTCAGCATGTTGTCTTATGCATTAACTATTGTGCACTGGTCAAATCTAATTACATGTTTGCATAACATTTGGGACATAATTGCTCATAATGGGAAAACATAGATGCAAAATGCAATGAAAACAAAACAACAATTGAGTGCAAGTGTTGATTATCACTTGAAAATGAAGGTTTATAAGATTCAAATAACACCAGAGGTAGTACAGATAGATTTTCAAATATAGTTTACTAGTTTCCTATCCAACACACTGATGATATCCCATGTTATTGTGGTAGAATACTATAAAACATTCACCCTATTCTTGGACAAACTACAAACGTGACTTTACTTGAGCAGATCAATTTGACATGGTATAAATGTTCAACTGAGTTTATTCGTTAAATAAACCTTGAAAGGTGCTTTCACATAACCATAAAGCCGCAAGTGGGAGTGTCTTCTCTTGAAACAATCAAGCATGAAAACACAATCTAGATTAATTATATACTATTACTGTGATACCCCATTTGTCTAGCCCCGCATCAAGAACTTGCAAAATATATGAGCGGGTTTAAACAATGTGTTGCACTCAGCCGCATAAACAGACTCACGGGTCCAGGGGTGACAATTGCTATAGACATTAAGAAATGCCAGATACAAGCACAAACAAAGCAGAGAGCTCCTAACCTTCAGAGTCCGATCCACTGACAGGTGTGCGGCGGCGATACTTCCTATTAGCCGCGTCCTGTGCAGGTTTTCGAAACGATGGCTTGGCATCCGAGTTTTCTAGAGAACTTGCTGGTAATGGAGGGTCCATGAATCCAATACCTAAAAGTCAAAACATGATACATCGTAAGGAGCTAATAAAGCAATACAAAGTTTGTTCGCTGATTGATACCTAGAGGCTAACTAACAGCACAGCCATAAACTCCGTTAACAAGCATCTAACTCAACCAACAGAAACCGAATCCAAAATCAAAAATCAATAATCATGTAAAACGTCAAGCTCAACACACATAATCCCAGAACAAAGTATCGATTCTAGCAGAAGAGGAACCCTAAAAGCACCTAAGATTCATATTCCGGTTCTCGTCCTGTACAATTTGCGAAGAGAAACGAGAGGGACCGAGAACTTACTACTCTCTCGCGGCGGAGGAAGCGGCGGAGGCGGCGATCGCGGCGGTGAGGTTAGGTTCTCGACGGCGACGAGGTCGAGAGGAGGACGACACTTGCCAGCCCCAGAGACGACGACGAGGGGAAACGGGAGAAAATTGGGACGAGTGAGACGGAGATTGTTGCTAGGGTTAGGGCTGGGCTTTTAGCCGGTGATCGGGTTGACAAAAGGGTCGGGTTGACCCGTTAGCTTAAAGGGCTTGACGCCGAGCTGGGCCTGGAAAACTGATGTTCGGCCCGAATTAGAAGTAGCCTAGTAGGCAATCGCAAATACGCTCGGACCTTGTTCTGGCCCAACATCTTCAGACCGGCCCAAGTTCTTCGTGTCCTCTTGCGCCGCGCGACGTTCCCCCCCGCGAGAATAGCAGCAGAAGATCATGAGCTAGGGTTTATATCATTCCACTTCTCGACGAACGAACGTTCGATCGAGCATCATGAGGGCTCTTCGTCAAACCGCTAAATTTACAAGGTAATGTCTATTTTCCCAATTTTTTAGGATTTTTTTTCTTTTTGAACCATGGCCATGTTAATCTTTGATATGAGAGGAATTATATTGGTTTTTCTTAATTATCTGAGCGGTTTTCTTAAACATGCTATTTTAAACTGGTTTATTCATTGTAAATCCCTTCGCATTGTATGAGTTCTTGATTTTTTTTCTCATGCTCCACTCATTAATTCAGTTTTTTTTTTCCGCTTCCAGTTTCATTACGCTTTATTCTCTTAATCTTAGTACTGTGGAACTGAATGAACTGGTAAATTTTGAGGGAGCAGACTTTTAAATATGAACAAATTATTTAACATTGAAAGATTGATGAAAACGTGTTCGTACATAGCCAACGTTAACAACTGGGAGGATGTGTTTCATTAAACCGCTCAATCCGGAGTAATTCCAAGCTTAACTTAGCATAAATGGGAAATGCTTAATACTTGAAATTTACATTTTCATATTCAATATAAATTACTTATTTCGCTCAAATAATTCTAGCCGATTCCCTTGCCCATCATTATAAAGTTAATCCTGAGTATATTTCAGCATCCCCATCCTTAATCCTAAATCACAAACAACATCTGAGAGCCAGCTTCGTGGGTTCAATCCAATGGCTATATTCTGCAGTCCCGTCAGTTTGCGTGGTTGCCCTTTTTACATTTCCCTAGGCTCCTTGATGTATAGGGGATACTGACTGTTCAAGTTTCTTTTCTCGTGCTCAAACACCTGTAGCTTAGTGTTTATCTAAAACTACTACTCTCTAGTCTCAATTAATTAGGCCATGATAAAGTTTCTGATTGAACTAGGAACTATGTGCATACATGGTAAATGCTTTAATCCTTGATGCCTGTACCCTATCTTTTTCTTAAACCATTCATATGATCTCACTTGTTTTTCTTCTTTTCTATTATGATCATATTTCGATATATCGCAATTGTCTCTTTGGTATCCACCACAGTCGGATCTCCTATTTATGTCAATCTCCATGCCATCTTGAGGGGTCCTAATGAGTTCACAATATCACTCTGTTGTATATCTAGTTTTTTCTTAGAGAAAGTACAACTATGCAAGTTGATTAATGTTCGACTTTATCCTATTTTATAAGTTGAGGAATCTTTAATATACACTTCTGATGCGAAACGGGACAGGGGGTCTATCAGAATCAGCGGTCTAAATCAAATAATACACCGTTTCACCAAACTTCATGATCTTTGGCAGGAAATCAAATTTAAACAACTAATGCGACTGATGGATTTTAACAAGATTTGCATTGATTAGATTACATTTTTTAATTATTATATTATATATACACATCATCCAGTATATCACTCCGATAAATACTACTTATCCCCGATATATCCCCGATTTTCGCTATCCGATAAGGATTTTGGTCGTTCGATCCCCGATAACCGATATTTAAAACCTTGAGTGCTATAAATGATGTATCACTCCTCACTATATTCATTTTTCTCAGTGGTTGAGTCACAAAAATATAGGAACCTAGTTGATTACAAATGAAATCTTATAATGAGTATTCAAATATGCTACACGGACATAATGACCAAATGTCAACAAGTTTCTATCAAATTTCACTAATCACTAAATCTTAAAGGAACAGATTCCGCCAAAAAACATGACACAAATAGAAGGAAAAAATCACAACGGTAAGCTGTAAATAACATTTCATCTGAACATACTAGCTCAAACAAATAGATAATTGAAGCAGACGTATAAAACCATTTTCAGGTATGCTTATGAGCTGATAGTCTGTGATTAACATGAGGAAGCTGCACATACTTGATCTAATAGATTAAATCATCTTGTTTAAAGCATACAAAATTCCTTATTTTTTAAAGGTAAAACATAGAAATGGTTTATATCCCTTAACTACAGGTTATGATATTATGTGTTTCGTTTCGATGGTTTTAACAAGAGGCAAATTCAACTGATTGGTTTGTTGATTTTTCCGACGATGAAGCAAACACAAGTGCAGTGGCATGGTTTAGGATGTCAACCCGACAACTTGTATGCTTTTATTTCTAACAGTAAGAAATTTCAAAGATTCTAACATGTGTCTTCTTTTTAATAGAAAATAACACATTAACTTATGTATTATTGTCAAATTAGAAAAGAGCAACAAAAAAAACCTACAAGAAAAAACGTGATCCAGAGTCTTTTCCAGAAAATATTTGTGTATCCTCTGATATTGATCCATCTATGGTGCAGTCTATGATAAAGGTAAAACATAGAAATGGTTTATATCCCTTAACTACGGGTTATGATTTTCTGTGTTTTGTTTCGATGATTTTAACAAGAGTCAAATTCTACTAATTGTTATGTTGAGCGTTCCGATGATGAAGCAGGCATAGGTGCAGGTAGCATGGTTTAGGATGTAAGCCTTGTATACTTTTATTTCTAATGGCAAGAAATTTTTTAAAGATTCTAACATGTGTCTTCTTTTTAATAGAAAATAACACAATAACTTATGTATTATTGTGAAATTTAAAAAAAGGAAAAAAACCTACAAGAAAGAACTTGATCCAGAGTATTTTTCAGAAAATATTTGTGTATCCTCTAATATTGATTCATCTATGGTGCAGTCTACGATAAAGGGTATGGATGAGATGCGATATAGCTACAATTAGTTTAACTTCTCCCAAACTAACAAGTCTTTACAAGATTATCAACTACATCTTTTACCTCCAAGGAAACTTTCAAACTTTAAATTGTTTGTATAGTAGAGTATATTCGGTTTTTATAAGACATATTTAGCACTCCTGCAATATTTTTTAATATACATGAAATAGTTAAAAAAAGAAATATACATAACAAACAGACAAAAAGTTAAGAACATTAACTTAGGAAAGAAAGAAAAAAAGAACATAGTTAAATACCAATAATCTTGAATTATGACAATTGAACAAGAAGTTGTGAAGTAATCTCCTTCCACTTGCTACTTTTTACCTGCTTAAACAGCAAAGCAAAATCCCCAATTTTAAGCCATTTGATTTGCATTTAAAGTTTTTTCCAAAAATGGTTGAACTTATATAAAATGTCTTTCTCTTACTTCTGACCCGACTTACCTTCTTATTTAAAGGTTGGGCTTTTAACTTTGTCTGTGCACCACCATGTCCTTCTGATTTCTGCTCAACACTGTACAGTTGAAGAACAATGGTAAGAACATGAGTGTATTTGAACACACATATAAATTATATTCAGAAGAAAGCATGGGTGCTTGCAAAAGAGGTTGATATTTCTAAGTTTTATGTTTGGCGTATATTCATCTATTTAGTGCCAGCTGTGAATTTGGTCCAAACAGTCTAATAAAGGAACATATATGGAGATTTAGTACCACACTAAATAAAATGGTTATAGGAATATGTATTGTGGTCAAATATGTCTGGACACATGAATCAGATAAAATCTTACTGAGTCAATGTCATCCTCCACACATCACCTAAAAGAGTCATCGCTACACCAAAATACACAAGAAGATCAAAAAGGTTTACGCCAATCCTATAGCTAATTATGTGTCATTTACAAGAATGGGAATTGTTCACTACTGTTAATGATAGATTGCAAATCCTATAGCTAATTATGTGTCATTTACAAGAATGGGAATTGTTCACTACTGTTAATGATAGATTGCAAACCTCAGGAACAAACTAAATTTGCAAAATGCTCATTCTTAGAATCATCTCACTAACCACCATACATGAAAGTAATTCATTCCCTTGTTTCAAAACCTCAAAAGACAAATTAAGATTTCACAATCACGATTGTACTCGATTGAATAGCCTACAAAATTGTATATAAAGCAGTAACATTACGAAAATAGAGAAATCAAAAGTAAGAAAACTAAGAAGGAATAGTTAGAAAAGGAATATCACTTTCGAAATATGGCTTTATTTAGTTATTTACATAAGATATATAGCAAGACTTAGTCTCTAAAACATTATATTAATTTCTAGACTATATAATTGCGTTATGCGTGTATTTGAACTGGATATTACTTGCTATGCACTGATGTGTCTATTTACATTGTAAGGGGAATGCACTCAGTATATTATGTAGCTAGGATCTGAAGTTTAAGTGTTAATTAGTACTCAATTTTAACAATATCAAAATTAAATAGTAAAGCGTTATGTTGCATATGCATATTTCCAACACACTCAGATGATACATTATGAATCTTTTCAAAAGAGAGATACAATTAAGTTTGTAGCACTAATAAAACTATTGTTATAATTACTATACAAACTATATAAATCATTACTTTTGAAAAGGAAATGTACATTGCTTTCCTTGTTGTAGTTGTTGGTTATTCTTAATCTTTATACCTAGGATAAAAAAACAAAAATATGAACTTAGTATTATCCCTTATGCAATTTTTCAAGGTAGCAAATGTTCAATTTTAAAAAAAACAAAAATATGAACTTAGTATTATCCCTTATGCAATTTTTCAAGGTAGCAAATGTTCAATTTTATACTGAAGACCTATAAATTATCCCTTATGCAATTTTTCAAGGTAGCAAATGTTCAATTTTATACTGAAGACCTATAAAAGGTCATGCCTTTTTATCTGAAAAATAAACATTAGATAGACACTGGCCAAAAAAATTTAAAGCTCTGAAGATGAACTAATAAATTTGAAAACCATATCTTATAATAATCATAAATCATAAATGAATATAATTGAAATATCAGTGACGCAGCAAATAAAATAAAACACAAGTATTTAACACACAAAACAATATCATTCTTAAGGTTGATGTTAAAGAAACATAAAACATAAAGAGGCAAACATAAGTTTTTATTACATAATTAAAGCTAATAAAAACAACAGAAACTTGTAAACTTTTCCAACACTACGATTGACAAACTCATAGACCTAAATTTATTTCATTGACTTGATATTTATTTTTCTAAGACTCATCTCAACTTTTTTTTTCTCCTGACAAAATTTCCAGATAGTTGCTAGAATGCCCATAGCTTCAGTAAACATTTTATCCGCTTCTTCATCATCTTTGATCTTAGCAACAAAAAAAACATTCAGCAATAGTATGAGCATTTTCGCTAGGGACGTAATCAGATCTAAATCCTCAACCTTTATTTTTTTTTGTTAACTTCATAAGAGCTTTCTTCATCATCATCTTAATACTCCTCAATCGATGGTTCTTCTTCATCATCATATAGTCCAGCTGAAGTACCAATTGCTTGCTTATACTGGTTGAGTGACCCTCATTTAACATCTTTTTCTTTTCGTCTTCCATCGCTACTTGATGAAATATCAATAATGTTTGTTCTTAGCAAAAGTTTTAAACTCATATGGTTTGGGAACTGATTTGCGTGTTGTGCGTTTCAACATCTGTTATGAAACCACAAAAGAATTATGGACATGCATAATGACAAGAAAGATGATTATTCTATTTGGTACAAACATTTGCTTTTCTTGAGATTGAATTCCCCAAAATGCCCTTAAAAACACAAGTGCCAACACAAAATTTTGGTTTAAAGGTATTTTCTTTGTCAGGTTTTTTCATCTTCAAGCATATAGGATGCATGACATGATAAATTGACACTATGATATTTATAAAAATTGAAAATATGTGAGTAAATTTCGATGCATATCATTGTAAGCATGTATGTGTTAGGTTCTGGTGCTATTACAGTTAGACATCTGAAACATAGAGACCCAAGTGCTATTATGACTTAATAGTTACTAATGCACAGAAATGGACTGTTAAGTTTCAAAGATTAATGAATTTTAGAACGAATAAGGTGAATACATCTCAGCATTTGCAGCTTTCCTTAATCTATCAAAACTGAGCAAGTATTTTAAAACAGTCCAAATTCCTTTGTAAATTAATTTACAGTTTTATGCAATGTTGTTGAAATCATACTCATAGTTAAGGCATAATTTCATTGGTACTCTTAGTTATCACTATATAGTTCATACATAGTTCATACATACACATAGAAAAAACTTCATGGATCGAATTTTATCAATATCATAAATTGAGTATCAAACTCATTTATTAATATCGGGGAAGTTTCCATTACCTTTAAAATATTTTTAGAAACTAAAATATCACCTATCTTACACAGGTAAGAACAACATCGGCTAGGTGATAATTTAAAATTATGAATGGGCTTCGTAAACATCGGACCATACACAACATTTACTTTCCTATAGACATGCTTGGTAGGTCCCTCTCTCTACCTTAAGATCTAAAAGCAAGCTACAGTTTTCCAACTTAAGCTTCCAGAAGCTTCATTAGCTATTTGTCTATGTTTTGGCAAAAATTTGGTCATATTAAATAATGATTCTCAGTTTGCTGAAAAAAATACATTTTAGTGGAAGGAGAAACCTCCATCACTTTTTTCAAGTATCGACCAACAGTGATAATTCAAGCATACCTTGATATAAAAACAGACAGATTTTCCCGATAAGTTTTATTGCCAATATCATGCATAATGACAACTATAAATAAAGTGGACTGAGAGTATGAGTCGGATAATATTATATCTACATATTTGGAAAATCTAATTTCTAGATTTGGTCTTGACTCTGAAAGTTCAATAAAACATGGAATAAGAGGACATATTACTGATCAGTTTCTTGAACTGCCATGGAGAATTGTGTATATGATATTGGCACTTGTGTTTTTAGAGGCATTTTGGGGAATTTAATGCTCTTAACATGCATGTCCATATAGGTATTTTCGCATATCCTTTTTTTCACGAGCATTTGTTATTACCTCCCATGTATGGTTACCTCGATCAAGAATTTGAACTAAATCATAGAGAGTTGACATCAGGTTTGTTAATTATTAATCATTTAGTTTAACATGCAGGATTATCATCAATCATCAAATAAATTATAAATGCCATCTAAAAGTTCCTCTTCTCAACAATAATTTAAAAAACCTTGAGATAACAGATATAATAACAAAAAAATTACCTTGATAGCTTTGTACTCCTCCTATCAACCTCAGATTCCTGATATCATCAATCATTAATACAAAAAAGAAGGTAAGTCATGAATAAATCAACCAATCAACAAGCAACCAGAGAGTAAGAAATAAGAATAAGAATAGGGAAAATCACCACTTACAATTGAAAAGAAACGTCATCTGTGCTCCATCAAAACTGAAGCACTACGTTATTTATACAATCGCAAATAAGCTTAATTTTCAGTTAAGAAATGTAAAGCCCTAAAATCAGTAACGTTAATAATAAAGGCAAAAACTAAGAGGTTTCGAAAACGGACGAAATTGAGGTAAGAGGAGAGGCAGATGGGGGCGGGGGTGGAGAAATGGAAGAATCCTAAGAATCATAGAGGAGGAGGTTAGGATTGAAAACCCGAAGAATCATAGATGAAGAAACGGAAGAATTGAAGGAATTGGAGATGAAGATGCGGAGAGTAGCAGGTGGGTGGAAGCTGATGAATAATGGGATGGTACACTCAATAAATACGAACAAATATAGGATGTAGTTATAATTAAGCAAATTGGAAGGGGTAGAATTGTCATACAAAAGTTTTAATACTTGTATTCTCTTTTAGAAGTAGTATAGATACGTTGGGCTTATATATATAGAGCCTTACAAAACACTTTTACACATAAGACCTTGATATTACATATATCTCAACAATCCTCATCAACTTCATTCTTCAATCCAACATGGACAACAATAGAATTGATTTTTTCTATCATTTGTACTCTACATCACCAACATTTGGAATAGAACATCCACCTAACATCTTCTGGATCCTTCATAAGATCCTACAGAACATGATGTTATCCGTTTAGTGGGAGCTGAGAACATGTTTTGTTACTCATCTACCAGCTAAGGCCTACTTTATAATGCCACTATCAGAAACAACTGAGCCCCATGAAAACCTACTATATTACTACTAAGCTACCGTGCTATTTTCTTGTACATTCACCCTATTAAGTGCTTTAGATTCATTGTGGTTAAGAGTAATTTTGGCATGAGTTCGGCTTTCAGTTTCTACTTTCCCTTCACATGATTAGAACAATGTAAGACAGTGGGTAAATTGATGAAAGGAATATTGCAGATGAAATAAAAGGAAAAAAAATGAAATTTGAATTTCTGCATGCAATAGCTCTCTTGATGCAAATACTGCTATATTTGATCGTTGAGAACTAGTTGCAAACCTCAACTCCGTATGTCTTGTTTATTGCCAGGAACCACAATGCCAAAGTTTTAATCAGTCGATTTTCTCCTGCTTCATCACATAAACCGTGTAACAGCTCAAATTATGCAGAAGGGAATTATGCAAGATATCAAAATATTACTAGAGGCTATGTTTTCTTCCTGTATAAATCTTCCTCGTCTTCTAGACCATTTTTGGGTTGTCGAAGCCTTTGTTTTAATATGGGAAATACAACCAACAAGAGTGAACATAATGGCACATTTCCTAATCAAGATTCTCGGGGAAGCGATAATACTGGCATCAATGTGGTCAATGACAAAGTGGCTGTGGTGGTGTCTGATGACATTTTTGAGTCCGACTTAGAAGAAGACTTGGTACAAATTTCTGATAATCCTCTTGACTCACAGGACGCCGAAATGGCTTCATGTGATGCAGAAGGTAAAAACCCCACATCTCCTTTATTCAAGATTTTAATGAAAGCTCCACAGTGTTCTGTTAAAAATATTCTTCAGAAATGGATAGAAGATGGTAATATGGTGGACCGTGGTGAAGTCTTGGTTACCTTGCTTAAACTTCAAAAACTACGGCTTTATCGGAAGGCGTTGCAGGTATCCTTTCATTTTAATAAGATCTTAATGCATCTAGATTATCTGTTGCCAACAAATTCTTGCAATCTAAATGTTATCTGGTACTTGCTTTGTGTTTACTTGAGCTAGAGGCAACAAATTTGTATCTTTTTGTATTAATACCTTTTTGTTGGCTGCTTATAAGTCTTTGTCTGCCAGCTATGACATTTTTTAGCGTATTTAAGAAATGGAGGGAGGTGGTGCAATAATTAAATTTCTCTGCTAATCTGGATGTCATGGGTTTTGGTCACGCTAACAACATGCCAGGATATGGCTAGGTGCATATATATGGCGCTTTCTAGCTTTCTTTAAACTAAGAAGTGGAGTTTAGAAAATAAATGTAGTTTATTGCTGTGTCCACCTATCATAATTGTCAGAGTATAGCTTAGATGTGGTGGATGGTTAACTCGTAGAAGTCGGGAACGTGGGACACTATAGCGAACCGCGACCCGGGTTCAGTTGTCCCAAATTCGTGTGGAACACGGCCCTATTCACAGACTCCAACGACCCAACTTAGAATTCTAACCAGTTTAGTTTTTGAAAAAATAACTATTTTTTAAAAGAATAAACCACAAAAACATGAGAACTTAAGCAAACAAGGTATGCATACCTTAATTGCAACATGATTCTCAAGGTTCTTTTACCATTACTGGTATCAACTAGCAATTTTTTAAATTTGACTCTCGCAAAACCTGTGATTCCTACATTTAAGAACCAAGCATAAAGTGTCCCACATTTTTGGTGTATCATACAAGCCTAACCCCCTCGTACCTTTCCTAATGAGTGGCGTACCACACTCCCGTACCCATCCCATGAAACGGAATGAACCTGGTTCCATGCTACTATGGGTTAACTCCCAGCATTGGTAATTAGACAACCCATTACTCCCACAGTAAGTTTTTTAGCTGCTTTGGTGTCTCAGGGACCCGTATAATTATGAAAAAATATATTAGACTGAAGAAGATAAGGAAAATAGTAGATACTTGATGATTGGCTACTGTCACATTTAAGTCCTAGTTGCTGATTCTACAAATGCACTGTGTATTTGTTCTCATGTATGTTATGCCATGTGGTTATACTCTATAGTTTTTTGACCTGTCATGAAAGTTTTCCAGCATGACGGCCACTAAAGTTTTCCTCCTTTCGTTATCCATGATTAATGCGTTTTTGTGTCTTACTACCAAAGAGGTCACAGTTAGTTCTTTACATTTCAGCCTTTTCAGTTTCACTTCAGCAAGTACTGTTCTAATAGCATCTTCACCATTTTCCCTCCAGTTTTTACTCTTTCTGAGTATCAGTATTAGCATCTTTTCTGCCATATATAAGCCCTTCCAATTTTGACACTTCTCTGGATATAGCATCTGTCATGTATTTTTCATCTAGATTTTTTTCTTTTTTTCCCCTTTTTGCTTGGACTGAATTTCATTTACATTTGTTGACAGTTTGTGGAGTGGTTGGAAGCAACAAAATGTCTGAACTTTACAGAGTATGACTATGCTTCACATCTGGATTTGGTTGCTAAAGTACATGGCCTTCAGCAGGCTGAAACATACATTAATAAAATCCCTGAATCATTCAGGGGTGAGATAGTTTACAGAACTTTCCTAGCTAATTGCGTGTCTCGTCTAAATGTGAAAAAGGCAGTGGAGGTGTTCAACACAATCAGAGATGTTGGTCTGCCTATTTCTACTTTCTCTTGTGACCAACTATTGCTTCTCTATAAAAGGGTCGATAAGAAGAAGGTTTCTGATGTCCTCGTAATGATGGAAAAAGAATCTATCAAGCCATCTATCTTCACATACAGGCTCTTGATAGAGTTGAAAGGAAATTCATATGATATAAATGGCATCGAACAGATCGTGGAGAAGATGAAAGCTGAGGGAATGTGGCCTGATCTAATGATTCAATCTATGGTGGTTGAATACTATATCTTTGCAGGATTCAGTGAGAAGGCAGAAGCAGCATTGAAGGAAATGGAGGGCGATGATATCAAGGAGAACCGTGACGCTTGCAAGTTTGTTCTCCCTCTATATGCTTCTCTTGACAAAGCTTCTGATGTTGAGAGGGTTTGGAAAGTGTGTGAGGCTAAACCCCGTCGTGGTGAGAGTCTGGCTGCTATAGAGGCTTGGGGTGAGGTTGGTTGTGTAGATAAGGCTGAGGAAGTCTTTGAGAAAACATTGAAGTTGGGAAATAAAGTTTCATCAAAATTCTATGATGCTCTTCTAAGGATATATGCTAAAAATAAACTTCTATTTGAGGGGGAAGATTTGGTTAAGCGCATGAAAGAGAATGGATATAAGATTGGTCCTTCAACTTGTGATGCACTTGTCAATCTCTATGTGGGAGTTGGGGAAGTGAACAAAGCTGATCTTATTCTTCAGAAAGAAGCTCGGAAGAATGGGATAAGGCCTCTCCATTCATCTTACATGACTTTTCTTAAGGAGTATGCAAAGAGGGGTGATGTTAATAATGCTGAGAACGTACATCAGAAACTGAGGCAAGCTGGGTTCAGAAATAGGATGAAATTGCATGAGTTGTTGCTGGAAGCCTACTTGAACGCAAGGATTCCAGCGTATGGGTTTAGGGAAAGGATGAAGGCTGATAATATTTTCCCAAACAAGAAGCTAGCTGAACTACTAGCAGCTGTGGATGAATTTAGGATGACACAGATTGCACAATCGGTGGAATTGGACGATAGTTTATCTTATTTATTCAAAACACCAGTGGCCGTCTCCTAATTTATATGAATATTGGCAGTGCGCCGAGTGACGTGCCAGCGCTACTACTTGACTTGAGTGCCAGCATGTAGCTCTGCTTTCAGCAAGAATTTTACCATTGGGAGCAGGCGCCTTTCAAATCACTTTCTCGTGTGAACCTAAGTCGTGTTGCGTCACCTGTTCCCCATGGAGAGCCACCTATAGTGACGTCAAAGTACCAATGACCATGACAGTTACATAAAACTAAACAATAGAGAAGATAAAAAAAAGCGAGATGAAAGAAAGGAGTCAAAGAGATACCTGTCTTTTTTTCGATTTGATTTTTTTTGGGTTATGAACTAATCTAAAAGGCTATATCAAATATAGTTGGTGAAGGTTATTGCAGGTAAGCATGAGACTGTTGTTGGCTTCAGATCAGAAGTTACCAAGTTAAATTCTCAGCCAATGCCTCTTTTAACTTCCTACTCTGTGACCTGACTGCTTCCTTAAAACTACCAAAGCCAGTAACTTGTTTCAGTCCGCTTTCTGCAATTGATGAATCACCTGACTACAGCAGCTCTTTTGGTGCAGTTTAAAATATTGACTGCCAATAATTACAGAAGAACTGCTTTCTTTGATCATTGTTGGCGATGGTGATCTCTGATAACAAATCAGCTCAACTTGCTGGTTTCTGAAGGCTGTCTGCTTGTAGATATATTCCTTTTGGTGTGGGGGGATACTCTGCTGAATATAATGCCGTTATCTGTTGAAGTTCAGATGTGTAAGAATTCTGTGCAACATCTCTGGTCTTGTTGGAGCAATTGGTAGCACTTGCTGGCAACAGCATACCTAACAAGTTTTTTCACCTCCCTGAGCTTTGAAGTGTTTTAAACTTTACCAATAACAATTACCTCAAAACTTCGAACTTCCTACCACTCCTGATGATAGTAGTAGTGGCAAATGTGGATATCTCTGCAACGCCGACCAGGTACTGACCTAAGCATTTAAATGGGTGTTATAAAGCCTTGGTGATTTTTCTACTGGCTTATTTCATTGTGGAGAAATGAGCACCAGGAATAATGCTGTTCGATGGTTTATATAGCCTAGAAGCATCTGAAGAAAATAGTAGCGTTATTTTCTGAGGTGCTTTGGGTATTCCCTGGATTTTATCAGCAGAAACTGCAGGAAAATGTTCTTGGTTTGCCGCACGCTGAAACTGATCCTCCTTATGTATCTTTGCACTCCGAAGTAGATATATAACGGCAGCTCATCCCCATTCTTCTAATATTTCTATTGCGATTCGCGCATAAAAAGTAGTTTGATAGGATGTTCGAGGACTACACTGCCAACCTCAAACTTCTGAACGATGCAGCTTCTTGGAAAACTTTCCAGGTGACCTTCTTGATGAAATATATGGATAAACTTGTTTCTTAAATCTTAATATAATTATATTTTTAGTCGACGTGTGTAACTCAACTTTGGTTATCTGTAATTGTAAATCTGAGTAACTGCATGCTATTTATTCCTCTAGGAAAATATGTCTTCGCTTATTCTGAGACCTCATTTGTACCATGAGCATTAAGCCAAAACCAGGGAAGAAATATATTGGCTCTCATGCTTTTCATAGTCATTTCATGTTTCCATCGTTGTCGTCATACTTCTAAGTCGCTGAACGACATGATTCTCCTAACATCGTCATTTCCTCAAATGACATTCCTACCTTTTTATAACAAAAAAATTTGACAAGCCCTTAAAGACGTATTGCTGTTGATTTACCTAGTGTAAGTGAAGGATCTTGGGCATTTATTTTATAATTTCATCTTTTGTGGGGGCGATATGATGAAAAAAAACCCTCTTTTATGATCAACAATAGCTAGCTTCACTGGTACACAGTAGTCCAAGCTTAAGTACATGAAACTATATTTAAGTCTTTCAGACAAACTAGCTTTATTTTCTTTAGGGACTGATCTTTTGACTTGCTTTATTTTCTATAATCACACTGGAGACCCATATTTAGCCCACTAGGCATCCCCATATGCTATATAATCTAATGAAAGGCTGACTAATCAAACGAAACAAGACAAAAGACAAGTCCATAAAGAAAATAATGTTCAGCTTAAGACAGAGTTCAAAGCCAGTGGTGATGGTGGTGGGGAGCAACTTTTTCCCTTTTAGGCACTCACACTGGCCGCAGAGAAAGAAACCCTTTTATTTATTTATTTTTATTTTTATTTTTATTTTTTTTATTTTTATTTTTATTTTTTATTTTTTATTTTTTTTTGGGGGGGGGGGGGGGCGTCCTTATGGGCGGGGTCCGCTTGCTACAAAATCATGTAGAAAAGAAAGATGGTCTTAACATGTCTCCTATAATTAATTTTAAATCAGCAAAATCAATACACCATTTCAGGAAAAAAATTATGGTAAATCTCACAAAACCCTCGTAAAGTTTTGGCCTATTTTGGAGTAACCGCACTAAACTTTATAAATGCCCCTGGCTCCATCCTTGGGACTTGTCACAAATCCCCGCAGCCGTTTGATAATTTTTCACCAAAGCCCCTGATGGCATGAGAAATTTGAGGGTCGGGCTGTGAAATTTACTCAAAAAATATATATTGTATGTATCTATGCAATCAGTGATGAATATTGTATCAGGGCATTAATCATCTACTCCAAAAGGGTAAATATCGGAAAACCCCCCCTTGACTTTGGACAACCATTGGAAAACACCCTTGACTATTAAAATATCAGAAAAACCCTATTAAGTATAGAGATTATCACAAGATTCCTTTTAATTTGTAGATTATATCAGAAAACCACCTTTAATTTTAAATGGGGTTTTCTGATAACCTCTAAACTTAAGGGGGGTTTTCTGATATTTTGAAAGTTGAGGTCGGTTTCTTCGTCGTCCGAAGTTAAGGAAGGTTTTATGATATTTAGCCCCTCCAAAAATATGCGGTTGGCTCTTAACGCGATCTTCTTCCATACGATATGTTTTCATATAGATGGGTCTCTATAGGACTTTTAGGGAGACACGGAGTGTTGGGGCGCTCTCTCTAATGATTGCTGCCCCTAACGCGCGTGTCTAAAAAGACACTGCCCTTTTGCCAACCCTCCATGCTTTGTATCCCCCCTTTATTCTCACAAAAGAATAGAATGAATGAATGTTACGAGTGAGGATTATATAGGGAAAAGGGGTTGCTACTTGCCTGTGCCTTTGGGGACACACATGCAGACCATTTCTCATGTGTCACCTTCTCTTCGATCTCTTACCCCCAACCCTAACATGGGTTTTTGGTATGGTGGTAATTTTTGAATTCAGAGATTATTGGTCTTGTAGGCATAGGCGTGGGCCAGGCCGACTTAAGTCGGTGACACGGCCAACCGGGGTCAAGGCCCGGCTGAGTCTGATCCGGGCCCACATGGGTTAGAGTGGGCGGGGCCTACCTTTCTAATTTCAAGTTTGG